GCTGCTGCTGCTGCTGGGGGCTCCGAAGCAGGCCCCTATGCGTGGGCAAATGTCTGCATGCATTACCTCAGTCTTGACTTCCTCGAAGCTGTTGCCAAAAATCCCAAAGTCCTTAACTCTCAGTTCCATTTGGCCAAAAAGAAAATCCCCCACCTCGCTCCCCTTCAGGGGGCCCCCACTGGGGGGCCCCCCGGGAGCCCCCCTGGGGGCCCCCCTGGGGGCCCCCCTGGGGGCTCTTCTGGGGGCCCACCTGCGGGGGCTCCCACCGGGTCCACAGGGGGCCCCCCTGGGGGCCCCCTAAAGGCCCCCGCTCAGGATACTTTTGGGGGCCCCACAGGGGCCCCCCCCTCTTCTCCTCAAGAGGCAAATGAACCCAAAGACGCATCCAGCTGCACAGCCACAGGGGCCCCAGGGGGGGCCCCTGGGGCTCCAGGGGCCCCAGGGGGCCCCCCTGGGGCCTTCGTTGATTTGGAAGACCCGAATTCTTGGGTGTTGGCGAACCCTAAGGAACCGAACGGATGGAAACTCGAGTTGTTTATCTTTGATGCCTTCCCGCTCGCAGACAGAATCCTGGTTAGGGTTTAGGGTTTAGGGTTTGGGGTTTGGAGTTTGGGGTTTGGGGTTTGGAGGTGCCGCGGGGGCTTCAAGAGTTTCATCTCAGGAGGGTTTAGCTGCTGGTGCCTGGTGGTACCAACGGGTCTCGGGTTTAGGGTTTAGGGTTTAGGGTTTAGGGTTTAGGGCTTGTGTGTGGTCTGCAGTGTTTGGAAGTGGACCGGGACTCGGAATTTGCCCCTGTGAAATGCGCTGGCTCTCTCGGAGTTGCAACACCAAACAAATTCAATTTAGAAGCAGCAGCAGCAGCTGCAGCAGACACTCCTGAAGCAGCGCAGCTGCTGCTGCTGCGCCTGCATGCAAAGTGGCTAGCAGCAGCGACACAGCAGCACCAGCAGCAACAGCAGCAGCAGCAGCAGCAGGACTTGCTGTGTGAGATTTCCCCCCTTGTTAGCTACGAAGGAGAAGGCCTTGACAAGGACTGTCTCAAAGGCAAAGACCTGACCAAACCCTTGCTGCTGCTGCCAACCGAACCCTAAACCCTAAACCCTAAACCCTGATGTACGCAAAGATATGTGTGCATGCGGCCGAGCCCAGCCCAGGGGCCCCCGTGAGCTTCTCCGGGGGCCCCCTTTAGATATGAAGGGGGGCCCCTTTGGGGGCCCCCATGGGCCCCCAAAGGGGCCCTGGGGCTTTTTGAACCCTCATTTGAAACCCTAAACCCTGGAGACTCTGAGGTTAGAAACAGAGGCTCTGCAGTAGCAAAGGGCAGCGTATCGCTAACCCTAAACACTAAACCCTAAACCCTAGTTTTTTAAGCGCTATTAGTTTCTCTCTCTTGCTTTCAAATTGCGCTAGAGCCTGGTGAAGGAAGCCAAAGGCGGCACAACAGCAGCAGCAGCAACAGCAGCAGCAGCAGCAGCAGCAGTGGTAATTGAATATTCGATTTAGGAAATAAAAGTGAAACAAAGACAACCTTCAGAAGTAGCAGTTTAGTGTCTCTCAGCCATTGCGGTGTCTGTACAGGTGAAACCGCCGCTGCAGCCCAACAGAAAAGAAACCCTCAGGGTCTAACCACTGGCAGCTGCTGCTGCTGCTGCAGCTACTGCTGCTGCAGTTGCTGCTGCTGCAGTTGCTGCTGCTGCCGTTGCTGCTGCTGCCGTTGCTGCTGGTGCAGTTGCTGCTGCTGCTTCAAGGAAGGAAGAAGCGGCACACCGACCGGTGTGACTGTCGCTGCGTCCGTGCAGCTGCCACATTTGTTGCTGCTGCTGCTGCTGCTGGAGCTTCTGCAGCAGCAGCTGCTGCTTCGGCTTACGCGTCGCTTCTGGCTTCGTCTGAGCAGTCGCTGCTCTTGGCGTCGTCTGCGGTTTCCGCCGCAGCAGCTTCGTCCGCTGCTGCAGCAGCAGCAGCAGGGCCTGCTGCAGCCTTGTGCTGCTTCTGCTGCTCGCGCAGCGCTGCTGCTGCCTGCTCGCGGCGCTCTGCTGCACACGCCAGCAGCCGCTGCACGTCTTGCTGCTGCTCGCAACTCACCCACGCCCACCCACTCCCGTACTCTGTTCCAGGAACAAACATGTGAATGCGAATGTCTCCGTGCTGCGCGAGGTTCGCCTTCAGCTGCGCCTGCGGGGTGTACGTACACCGCAGCACTCCGCACAACGCACTCTCACTTGCGGCTATTCTAAATAAGTGCAGTTCTGTCTTTTGAAATATGTTTTGAAGACTTTTTTACTCTTTTGTTGCTATTTGTTGGCAGTTTGGGATGTGCTTCGCAGGCTGCTGCTGCTGCGTGTGAACAGAGAAGAGGAAAAGGCAAGTCAATGGCATAATGTGTTTAACTGCACTTTTAATCATTTTTATTTTCGCATTTATGCTGCAGTAAAAAGGAAAGTTTTCATTTGTTCTGCTGCACTTGGGGTGTACGTACACCTCAAACAGCCACACGGCGAAACTGAAATGCTTCGAAACTTTTAAACTTTTAAATCCAACGATGCAGCAGCACACACCAACAAGATCCCGGAACAGAAAACCAAATAAGCAGCAACACCCAGCAGCAGCAGCAGCAGCTGCTGCTGCTGCTGCAGTGGCAATAGCTCCACCAGCAGCAGCAGCAGCAGCAACAGCAGCAGCAGCAGCAGCAGCGAGAGCCTACCTCGGTGACGCCCATGGGGATGTTTTTGATGGTCACCCGAGACGCTGTGTCGGTGCGCGTCTGGGGGATGACAGGCCTCATAGTGTAGAAGGAGTTGGCGGCCATTTTGCTGTTGAAGTTGAAAGCAGCAGCAGCAGCAGCAGCAGCAGCAGCAGCGGAGGGCCAGCTAGGCGGTGAAAAGCCACAGAAACCGAAGGGCTGGAGAATGGCCGCGAGGGCTGACGAGTGGAAGGGGAAATGAAAACAAAGAAAGTCTAGGAAGAATGCAAAAAGAAAACCTTTTTAAAACTCTGAGAAAAGTGAAAAGGCCAAGTCGACGCTGCTGCTGCTGCTGCTGCTGCTGCTGCCGCCGGCGCTGGGCTTCGCCGAGTTGACCAGCAGCGGGCGCAGCTGGCTCCAGCCAGCCTCTCCTCCTGCCTCCAATTTCCCATATAAAAGGTCGTTTTGAACTATTTTTAAAGCTTTTTGCATTATTTTGCATTTATAATAAAGAATTTTAAATTGATTTGCATTTTCAAGCGGCCTTCTGCGCCTCCTGGGCTTCATTTCAATTCGTTGAACAGCAGCTGCCGACGGCTTCCTGCAGGCTGTCCGCTGCGAGCTGCTGCGCTGCTTTCCGCGCTGAATAGAGGCAATTTATTGTCTTTTATTTCATTTAATTTGACAATTTATTTGTATTTAATCAAAAATAATAAATAATCCTCGGGAAAGCTCTGAGAGGCCGCACTCCCAGCTCGCCACGTGTGCGGCGGCCGTCTCGGATCGCCGCAGCTGAATCGACGCAGCGAAGAGCGCTTGACAGCAAAATTAGAAATATCAAGTGAAAATTGGGGAAAGAAAAGATAAAAGTGATGTTTTTGCAACAATTTAGAAATGATTAATTCCCTCATCGCGGGATTCCTCTCGATTCAGATTCAGGAAAAGGCGAAAGGCTGCAGTGGTCAGCACTAAGTTGTGCAAGTTGAATGGCGAAAAGAGCCCTTCTGCTGCACAATAATAGGAACAGTTCTGATATCACTTCTGAAATAAAGTTTTCTTCTAACTTTGAATTTGTTTCGAGTTCGAAAGCTGTCTGTACACCTGAGGGGCGCACAGGATCGGACGGCTGCGGCCGATTTGCAAGGCAGTTGGCGATGAGCCGCTTTTTGATAATTTTGAGCCCCTTGAAAACGTTTAAATGCTTTTTATAATGAATTTACATAAATGAGGAGATTATTTGTTCCGTGTTTGGTTGGATCTTTGGTAATTTTCGCGTTCGTTTGCTCGCTGTGCTGCACCCCTGCAGCTGCAGCAGCAGACCAGACGCACGTTTGCAAACAGGGCCACCGAGGCATTTTATTTCATATTCGAAACAAAAATGATATTTCAAAAGGATGCAAAGTGACTGCGGTTTTGAAGAGAAACTGTTTGAAGCTCCTGAGGTAAAGAAACGACGAACTTGAATTCTTGAACGGGGAGCCACGAACATGAACTGAATCTGAAATGGAATTCCAACGCAGAGGAAACAAGGAATACAAAACCATCGACTTGGGTTTGTTTTTCTTTTTTAATTTCATTTTCTTTTTCCAATTTACTTTATTTCTTTCATTTCAACTTCCACAGAGGCCATCGAGACTCCCCTGCATTTGCTGCCCAACGACGAAACTTGCATTTCTATTAAGCACGCGCGGGAGGAGCCCGACATACTCTGGTGGGCAAAACTTTGAAAAGAAATAAATATAATAAATAAATAAATGTTTAACATTTAAATATTTATAAATTATAATTATAATTCATTTTAATTCTCTAATTCATTCTTTCATTTCTTTTCTTTTCAGCTGCGAAAACAGAAGCTGCAGAGACCAGTGGGTAAGAAATTCCCAGGACTTTTTTTTTCGTTTTTAATTTTTTTTCGAACTTATTTTCTTTTTCCTTTTAATTTCTTTTCCTTTTCCTTTTAATTCAATTTCTTTTCCTTTTTATTCTTTTTCTCTTTTATTTCCCCTTTATTTTTAATTTTCATTTTTAAACTTTAGTGGAAAACCATCACCAAACAAATCCTCTGCCTCCACCAAGGGCCCATGCGGAACGAAGTGGCTGGAGAGCCCCCTTTGGAAATAGAGCAGCGCGAAGTGTGTGAATTATAATTTAATTTAATTTAATTTAATTTAATTTAAATTAATTAAGGACATTTTAATTCATTTATTTTGAACTTCCAAAATCCAACAACAGGTCCTGGAGAAGGTCGTGGAAAAACCCGAAAAGGGAGGCATCACAATTCATATCGATAAGGTCCGTTTGCCTTCAAACCCTAAACCCTAAACCCTAAACCCTAAACCCTAATTTTGAATGCCGAATTCCCTCAGGGCCAAATGCCAGCGGAACCCATACTGTCGATACACCCCAAGTTCCGCGGGGTCCCCCGAAAGCGGCACCATCAGATTTCTCCATTTTAATTTTTTATAAATTCCAAAAGTGTTCTTAAAAACTCAAAAAGATCAACCCAATAAAAGCCTTAATTACGGCATTCTGGTCACTTCTACATACGGCTTCAACGAGCTCCCATGCAGTCGCCCAGAACCTAAACCCTAAACCCTAAACCCTAAACCCTAGGCGCCTTGAATACCTTGGTGGAGTCAGTGGGACTTGTATCTTTCGGCGTGGCAGGACTTGGGGGCTGCGTGGGGCCTGGGGGGAAAGAATTGCGAGCCAAGAAGTGGAAAAAGATTTTCAAATTTAATTACAAACTCTGCATCTTTTGAGTCTTCTTGGCGGTGGGCACAGAGGAACATTTGGCCCCTGAAGGGGGCCTTAGGGGCGGGCAGCAGCAGCAGCGGCGGCGCGGTGCTGCTGCTGCTGCTGCCAGCAGCGGCTCTGCCCCGCTGCTGCTGCTGCTGCTGCAGCAGCAGCAGCTGCAGCGCGGGCAGGTGCCGCAGCCCCGCCTCCAAAGAACCCTCCCCGGCATGCAGCAGGTCCAGCGAGCCGCTGTCTGCTGCCGCATGCAGCAGCTGCTGCAGCAGCTGCTTCCCAGCCTCTTCTTGCAGCAAATCTCTTATGAAACCCTCAGTGTCATTCTCTATTTTCGAGTGCAGCAGCAGCCGCCACAGAGAAGGTGACCTTTTGGCTGCGCGGGCGGAGCGAGCCGCCAAGCTGCTGTTCTCTTCTGCCATTTTAAAAGAAAAATTTAAAAATTAAATTAAATTAAACTGAAAAGAAGTTTTAATTCAACTTTTGGCGGAGTTCAACGGAAAGCTGCAGCTGCTGCCGACCAATCGAGAACGGAGGAGCGCGAGGCACTGGAAAAAAGGGATGCGATCCGGAAAAAAGTTTTCAGATTGAAAATAAAAAATAAAAATAAAAATAAAATTGAATATTTCTGTATTTCCATGTCGGTTGGGGTGTACAGACACCTAGGGAATCGAAACCGGCGCGAGCACCGCGGCCACATGCAGCCACAAATCTGCTTACTCGAAATAGCCTTAATTGAATGTAGCGAGGCTCTAAATACTTCAAAATAAATCGGAATGTTATTTTCATAAACTATTTAAATAGTTTCTTCCACAAAGAGTTCCCCATTTATTAGATCCGGGGGCCCCCGGCGATCCACTGGTGTCGAGACAGCTGAGCCTCGCGGCGGTAGCACCTGGTGTCATTTCCTTGTGTTGTTTTTTCTGTTTCGGAGTTTCTTTGTAGTCCAAATATCTACTAAAGTGCTCAGCTTAATTTCTAGAGAGTTACTATTGTGTGCAATTGAAGCAAATGGGCAGATCCACGCTGCAGGCCCCCCCAGCATCCTGCTGGACATCATCTCAGGAGTATGTACACCTGAAATGAATGCAGAACTAACAAGCTGCAGATACCTCTTGCCATTTTCATGCATTTTCAACAAGTAGTTTCTCCCTGGGTTAGCACGGTAAGCCCAAACCCTAAACCCTAAACCCTTAAGCCTAACCCTACGTCTGTTCCCTTCTTTACGTCACAAATCCCAAATGCATTTAAAAAGGACCTTTTCCGCAGGCCTTGCGTGAGTCCTTGTTGTGTCTTTCAAACTAAAAAATGAATAAAAAATGGGCCCCAGAACAGAGCCACAAAACATTGCACCTAAACCCTAAACCCTAAACCCTAGCACCAAGCCTCCTGGATCTGGACTAAGCAGGACTGCAGCGTTTCAAATCCCATTTCCACTGCGACCTCCTGCGTGGTTTGCACGAAGTCCCTGAGCCAGAGGCAAACAACCCTAAACCCTAAACCCTAAACCCTAAACCCTAAACCCTAAACAGCAGCACTGATTATAATTAGGGTTTATGGTTTGCAGCAGAAGTGGACTCAGCTCACTCCCAAATCTTCGGATCCAGACGAGCCCTAAAGGGTTTTCCGCACCTGCAGAAGAGCAAGGCAGTCCCGAACCCTGAAACCCTAAACCCTAGTCTAAACCCCAAACCCTAATCCTAAACCCCAAACCCTAATTGCAAACCCCAAACCACCCCAAACCCTAAACCCTAGCTCACTTGCACTTGTCTCGAAGGTGAGTCACGCAAACCGCCTGGCAGCCAACGCAGTAGAGGTCTTGCGCCTGCACGCAGCAGCAGCCCGCAGCGCGTTGCACCCAAACCCTAAACCCTAAACCCTAGGCCCAACGTTTCTCGGGTTTAGCACGGTATACGCATAATGAGGGTTTAGGGTTTATAACGGTTTTCGGCCCATGGCTGAAGTGAGCTACAAACCCTAGGGCTTCGGCAGCAGCATCTGGACTGCGGGTTTAGAGAAACCCCCAACAGTAAAGCTCGCGCTGGTGCAGCTCTAGGGTTTAGGGTTTAGGGTTTCGGGTTTGCAGTTACTAAGAAGGCATAGTGCATTTCCTGAAGGGCGCGCAGAAGGTGTGCCTCGAGAACTTCATCTGCCAAAGGGTTGCCGCAAGCTGGGCATTTGCTGCAAACCCCAAACTTCAAACCCTAAACCCTAAACCCTAAACCCTAAATGGGTGTAGCTTTTGCCCCAGCGTTTTCCCAGCATCAAGCGCTGCTGCAGTTCCAGCCGAAGCCCTCCTCCCGAAACCCTAAACCCTAGACCCTAAACCCTAAACCCCAAACCCAAAATTCGAACACCCTATCCCTAAACTCCAAACCTCAGACCCAAAACCGCAAACCCCAAACCCTAAACCCTAAACCCTCGCTCGCCAGATCTTGACGACGACTTGCGCGCCGTCGGTGGTGAGTGCGTGGACTTCTTCGAGGGCAGAAAGGACTTCGAGGTTTGAAATGGATTTGCAAAAAAAACAATTTATTTCTTTTAATTGCAAAACCCTAAGAGGGGGTTTCCACGCAGAGGCCAGCAACTCCGAATCCCCAGCCAAACTCTGCAAACTGTGGCTACGCTCCTGCACGCCACAAACCCTAAACCCTAAACCCCAAACCCTAAACCCTAAACCCTAAACCCCAAACTCTAAGCCGTGAAACCCAAACCACAACCCCCAAACGCTGAACCCTAAACCCGCAAAACCCCAAAACCCCAAACCCCAAACCATAAACCCTAAACACCAAACCCCAAACCCGAAACCCTAAACCCCAAACCCTAAACCCTAAACCCCAAACCCTAAACCCTAAACCCTCACCGCGAGAGCCTCTGCCCAGCTTTGCTGCTTGTAGTCAATGTCTTTGTCGATTTGCATTAATCGGCAAATGAAAGAAACCGCCAAGTGCCTCCAAGAGCCCGAGGAGCAGCGGGAGCCTAGGCAGGCTGGAAACTCCAAAGATCTGAACAATAATAAATAAATAAATAAATAAATAAATAAATATAATTAATTAATTAATTAATAATTTATTCACTTATTTAAGTTGGTTGGAGGAATCGGAGAGTCTTGCAAGAAAGAAATGAATGGGCGCTCCCGCTGGGATTGTGCGCGCTGGAAACGCCAAACCCTAAACCCTAAACCCTAAACCCAAAACCCTAAACCTTAAACCCTAAATCCTGAATTCTAAACCCTAGGTACTCGGTGCTTGATGCTCACTTGAAGGAAAGCTCTTTGCTATCCCGAACATCCGCAGGTGACCCGTACCCTGTAGAAGGCGCAAACCGTAAACCCTAAACCCTAAACCCTAAACCCTAAACCCTAAAGCCTAAACTCTAGACCCCAAACCCTTCAAAGAGCTCTGAGACCCGTGGCCCCAGACTCAGAAGTCTCCCACTTGGCCCAACAAGCACGCCGCTTGACCTAAACTCTAAACCCTACACCCTAAACCCTAAACCCTAATTGTTTCTCACTGCGGATGAGCTCTAGAGGGTCGCTGATGACACGTTTGATCTTTCCAAAGAAGGATTTGTCTTTGGTGTTTTTGGAGTTCGACCGGAAGAAGGCATTTTCCTTATCATGGTTTGCTGCTGCTGCTGCTGCTGCTGCTGCTGGTTCATCGCCGTCAGCAGCAGCAGCAAACCACAGCTGCGCCGCCAGCTCGGACAGCTTCGCAGCAGTTTCCTCCCGCGTCCAAACCCTGCTGCCGGCGCGGCCGCCGCTGCTGCTGCTGCTGCTGCTGCTGCTGCTGTTGCTGCTGCTGCTGGGGCAGAAGTCATCTTCGTAAGCATTTATCTGGTGCAGCAGCTGCAGCAGCGGCAGCTGCGTGGCTCTGTCAATTACAAACTTTAAAAAGTTTGCCAGGGGCAGCGGGAGGCAGCGGAGAGAAGAGAGACAACCTGCAACTCCCTCGGCCTCAAGTTCCAAATTGCTGCTGCTGCTGCTGCTGCTGCTGCTGCTGCTGCTGCTGCGGCTGCGGCTGAGGGGGACAAATTCTCTATACCCCACCCAGTCTCTTTCGTCTAGCTGCAGCACAGCTACGAAAGAATCCACTGGGGAAATGACAAGGGCCTCGAAGAGCGGCTGCTGCTGCAGCTGCTGCAGCAGCTGCTGCAGCTGCTGCTGCGCTGCAGCAGCAACTGCCAAACCCGTCGAAGTCAAAATTACCCGCAAATCTGCTGCTATTATTTTAAAGGAAAAACTTTTCGAAAACTCGTTCAGCAGCAAAGACAAATAAGTGTCCGCGTGCCGCTGCACCTGCGCGGTCACCGCAAACCCTAAACCCTAAACCCTAAACCCTAAACCCTAAACCCTAGGGCCAGGGATCAATACCCACGCAGCAATGCGGTGGCCGCGCTTTTGCCAAAGAGAAGAGCTTCGAATTCTCACTTCCCATACTCTAGGCTTTAGGGTTTAGGGTTTGTGTGCGCCTGTGTTTCTCTCTGCCCTTAGGGTTTAGGGTTTAGGGTTTAGGGTTTGTGTTTACTTTTGTCTTGAGGGCTGCGTCGAAAAGAGTTGCCTTTCTGTCGCAAATCCAGGGGTAAAAAGAAGAAATAATTAAATGGTTTACTTTAATTTCAAAATTGTTTATTTGCTGCTGCTCCAGCAAATACAAAGAAGCAAACAGGCGCTGCAGCGCAAACCCTAATACCTGACGTGCACACGCAAACCCTAAACCCTAAACCCTAAACCCTAAACCATAAACCATAGTGCCAAAACCCCACAAAGCTGACCAACAGATACCAGAAACTGTTAGGTCGCTCCGCTGCCAAAACACTTGGCGGGAAGTTGCCAGAAAGCTTAGGGTTTAGGGTTTAGGGTTTAGGGTTTAGGGCCTTACCCTGAACGCTGCCGGCGAGAACTGCGTGGGCGAATGGAAGCCCTCGAGCGCCAACTCAGCTGCTGGCTGCCCTCTTGCTGCTGGCGTATCGAGAAGGAGACAAATAGGGGCCCCCAATATCTGTCTCTTTGCTGCGCAGCACAGCACCCACTTCCCACCTGCTGCTGCTGCTGCTGCTGCTGCTGCTGCTCCACAGCACGCCCCGCTGTTCCCGCAGAGTCTGTGCAAAGAAAGAGTCGTACAAAACCCTCATGGTCTCTTGGGGGCCCCGGGGCCCCCCCCAGGGGGCCCCCCAGGGGCCCCCCTGGGGGCCCCTCCCCGGGGGGCCCCCCGGGGGGCCCCCCTGGGGGCCCCCCGTGGGGACTTCTCCGTGAAGGGACTGGTAAGGGTTTGGAGGGTTTGCTTCTTTAGAAGATAAACCCTTAATTGTAAACCCTAGGGGATATTTCATGAGGCGAGAAAGCCACAAAGATGCTTCGTAGAGTTCGTGCTGCTGCAGCAGCAAACGCTGGGACTCGCGGAAGGCCGCCCTGCAACAGCAGCAGCAGCAGCAGCAGTTGGAGCAGCGAATGCAGCGGCAGCAGCAGCAGGAGCTGCAGCAGCAGGAACGAGCACGCACAGAAAACTGAAGCGCAGCGAAGAACGGACTCGCGAGGGTTTAGGGTTTGCAGCAGGGTTTAGGGTTTAGCGTTTGTACGTGGCTGCAGCACACCCCGGGCAACAGGAGCAGAATGTGCCTCACGCTAAATACGACTAGGGTTTAGGGTTTAGGGTTTAGGGTTTAGGGATTACTGGGCGAAGTTAGCTCGAGTGAGTGTGTAGAGCTTTGCAGGAATTTCTTCAAATGTAATAATGGGTATGGAAAATGTATGGGCGTCATAGTAGGTTCTTGTTTGCTGCTGCTGCTGCTGCTGCTGCTGTGCTGCTGCTGCTGCTACTGGCTGCGCCCAGCTGCCCAGCTGGTCCTGCGGGAGGGTGGAGAGCAGCAGCAAAACGTATTTCCTAAACCCTTGCTGCTGCTGCTGCTGCTGCTGCTGCTTCTGGTAGAGGTATTCCTCGAGCGCCTTGAGGGTCTGGGAGACGTCCTTCTTTTGAGCTTTTGCTGCTGCTGCAGCTGTTGCTGCGTTGCTGCTGCTGCTGCTGCTGCTGCTGCTGGTGTAGGAGCAGCAAACGGGATCACTCAAGGAATATAAACTTTGAAATTTATTTAATTTGTCTTCATCTGCTTCTGGCCATGTCATATTTCTTTTAGCTTTCGCATTTATTTCTTCTGTCTCTTCATCCGTCTCCTCTTCCTCCTCCTCCTGCTGCTGCTGCAGCTGCTGCCGCTGCTGCTGCAGCAGCTGCTGCTGCAGCTGCTGCGGCCGCACCTCCTGGGCCAGCAAACCCCCAAAGAAGAAAGCAGCAGAACCAGCAGCAAGTCCAAGTCCTTCTTTTTTTGAATTGGAATTTAAATTTATTTTATTTGCTGGTGCTGCTGTTAGTGTTGGTTCATAAACAGCGCAGAATATTCGGTCGCAGGCTTCGCGCGCATTTGCTGCTGCTGCTGCTGCTGCTGCTGCTGCTGCTGCTGAGGGTTTAGGGTATTGCGTTGGCCGCGAACGCTCCCCGTGAATTATGTGCACAATCAACGGCTTCACGTCCTTCATGTAAAACCCTAAATTAGGGTTTAGGGGTCTTGAGAAGGAAGAGCTGGAGGCTCGCGAAAATCCCAGGGAACTCAAAGCCCCCGATGCGTCAATCACTGCAGTTTAAATAAACAAATTAATTAAGTAATTAATTAATTAATTAATTAATTAATCAATTAGATTAGTTAATTGAAATAAATAAATAAATTAGTAATATACCTTAATGGTAAATGCAATTTAAATAGCTGCTTTGGCTGCGTTTATGCTTTAGGCGTGCAGGCCCGCAGCAGCGAAACCCTAGAACCCAAACCCTAAACCCTGAACCCTAAACCCTCGACAAGAACTGAAGCTGCAGCCAGCTGCCAAGCAGAATCTAGGGTTTAGGGTTTAGGGTTTACAGTTGCTAAGTTCTGACGTATGGGCCTCCATGGTATTTCCCACTCTCGAAATGAACGCGAAGTCCAGCGGCAACTGAAAACCCAAACCCCAAACCCTAAACCCTAAACCCTAAACCCTTAACCCTAAACCCTAAAGCTTGAAACGTGGCTCGGCGCGCTGGTCTTGCACAACATTTCCGGGCTACGGCGTAGACTCTGCAGTTGAGTACGGGCCTGAGGGCCTGTGGTTTAGGGTATATTTAGGGTTTAGGGTTTATTTAGGGTTTAGGGTTTACGTTTCCCTCGAAGATGCCTGCAGCTTTTTGATGAAAAGAAGCATAAATTGCAGCTTTTTCTTTTTTGAAAACTTTTTCTTTAATTGCCAATTCGCACAAATGAAGCTGCTTCAACCCCCGAGGCAGCAAATAGCGCCCCGTCAGGGCCTTTAGCCGAAGATCGCTGCTGCTGCTGCTGCTGCTGCTGCTGCTGTTGCTGCTGCTGCTGTTGCTGCTGCCGGTGGTTTGGGATGTAACTGGAGTTGTGCTGTTGACGAAAAGAATTCTGTAAATTTGAAAAGGAAGGAAAAAGAAATTTGAAGAAGTTGGAGAAGTCACCCGAAGAATAAACGACCCCGGGTCCTGGCAGCAGCAGCAGCAGCAGCAGCAGCAAAATAGAACAAAGAAGCAAACTTAGGTCTAATTTAAATATTTAATTGTTGAACCACAAAAGGACCAGTGGACACTATACTCTCCCCGGCTTGCTGCTGCTACGTGCTGCTGCCATTTGCTGCTGCTACGTGCTGCTGCTACTTGCTGCTGCTATTTGCTGCTACCACTTGCTGCTGCTATTTGCTGCTGCCACTTGCTGCTGCTACTTGCTGCCACTATTCGCTGTTGCCACTTGCCGCTGCTGCTTTCTGCTGTTATTTGCTGCTGCTGCTTGCCGCTGCTATCTGCTGCTGCTATTTGCTGCTGCTACTTGCTGCTGCCACGAGTCCTGCTCTCAGACTACTTGGGCCTTCTTTAATTACAATTGAAAATAAATAATTATTAAAAAGACCACTTAAAACGATTAACTATTTAAACCAATTAAACAATTAATAAAGCAGTGAATTTAATTGAAATAATTTAATTAATTTAATTAAAATAATTAATTTATTTAATTATTTAACTAATTAAATTAACTAATTCTTACATCCCCCGGAGCCCTAAAGAAGTCCAGAATCTGGAGGGGCCCCGCGAGTGCATGCAAAAGTTCGTTTTTCGTGGATTTTGCAAATTTAGAAATTAAATTTAATTTCAAATTTAATCCTTTTAAATGCAAAAGCTCTCCAGAACGCGGGATCCCCGGCTGCGCCCCACGCCGCCGCAGCTCCTGCGCGCAAACCCTAAACCCTAAACCCTAAACCCTAAACCCCAAACCCTAAACCCTAAACCCTAAACCCTAAACCCTGAAGCAAGGGAACTAGCTGTGGCGCTTTTGTGGATTGTTTGGAGGGAAAATCCCGAGGGTTTTGTTCGAGGCTTTCAAGCTTGAAATTTAATGAATCTCTAGGGTTTCGGGTTTAGGGTTTAGGGCTTAGGGTTTAGGGTTCGGGTTAGACCTCTCGGATTTTGAGCCATTTCGTTCTCTGGGCTGTGATCCACTCGCTGAAATTTGTTTTGAACAATTCCATTTCCGTTTTGCGTTGCTGCTGCTGCCTTTGCTGCTGCTGCATGTGCTGCTGCTGCTGCTGCTGCTGCAGCATTTGCTGTTGCTGCTGCCGCCGCTTCTGCTTCTCCTCTGCCGCTTCGGGCGCGTCTGCTGCTGCGGCGCCCACCCTCTGCTGCTGCTGCTGCTGCTGCAGGTCGCGCTGCTTGCTGCTGGCTGCTGCAGCAGCAAAGAAGGCGTCGATTTTGGTTTGGCGCCTGTCGCTGCTTTGCTGCTGCTGCTGCAGCCAGCGGGGAACCGGCACTGCAGCAATTGGGTTTTCTAAACCCTGTCGCATTGCAGGAATGCAAATAAGTTTTTGCAATTGAACATTAATTCTGCTTTTATAATATTCCCAATCCACGACAAGTCGGACGTTTGCTGCTGCAGCAGCAGCGTCTGCGGGGGAGAGCTGGAGCCAGCGCTGCAGCAGCATCTGCTGCTGCTGCAGCGGCGCCTGCAGCAGCAGCAGCGGCAGCGCCCGCGAGGTCACCTCAGCGCCCCGCGGGTAAGCAGCAACAATGAAGTTTGCTGCTAAAGGAGACACAGAAAGATAAGACTTGTCTCTCAGCAGCTCACAAAGTCGAGTTGCTGCAGTTGCTGCCATGGATTTGCTGCTGCCGAGAGCAGCAACGCTTTTGCCGAGGACTTTGCGCAGCAGCAGCAGCTGCAGCAGCTGCTGCTGCGAGGCCACCCCCAGCCCCTGCTGCTGCAGCAGCAGCAGGTACCGCCGCCCCACTGCAGCAGCAGCAGCGTAAGCTTCCGCTTTGCTGCTGCCACTCATGAAGCAAGGAAACAGCTGCTGCTGCAGCTGCTGCACTATTTCCATTTCTCCCCTTCGCTTCATCTCAAACCCTTTCAGCTCTTTTATCGCGCCCCCAGACCCGTACACCACGTACCTAAACCACAAACCCTAAACCCTAAACCCTAAACCCTAAACGGGAAGCCATCGATTGCAAATGGTAAATGCTGGAGTCGTATGCGGCGGTGGAGCCAGA